GTCAGAGACCAGAGCGGTAGCGTAGTCAAGGCGGCGGGTAGAGGCGAAGTCAGCGACAGCAGCGACAAGCGCGTCAAGGCGCGAGACCGGAACAGAAGGGTCGGTAACAAGAGAGGCAAGAATCCGAGGGACAAGGGGACGAGCGGCACGGAGGTAGTCAGAGAACGGAGGAGGTGCAACAGCAAGCGACGAGGGAGGAGGTGACGGGAGGAGGGGAGGACGAGACGAGTGGGAACGGAGCAACATAGGGTGGGAGGGCAGGACAGGAGAGACGGGACGGGCACGTGAGGGACGACGAGACCAAACGTGGGACGGAGGTGTAGGGTCAGGAGACAGCGGAGGGGACACAGGAGGGAAACGAGGAGGAAGACGGGCCGGAGACGAGTCCGGCGGCGGGAACACAGGACCGTAGACAGGAAGGTCAGCAGGCGGTGGGGGAGACACCGGCGAGCGGTCAGGGGAGGGAAGGCCGAGCAGACGGAGAGCGGAGACCGGCGGCGACGGCTGCTGGGGCTGCTGCGGCGGCTGGGCCGCGACCCTCGGACCGGCAGAATTCTCAACGGCAGCACCCCCAGAACCAACACCCCCAGAGCGAGAACACCCTCCAGCACCAGCGGCACCCCCAGGCCCGCCGGGACAGACCACTCCAGGCGCGGCAGGACGAACACCCTCCTCGACGCCAGCACCCCCAGGGGCCAAGGGCGGCAGCGGCGGCGGCGGCGACGGCGGCTGCAGCGGCTGCGGCGGCGGCGGTGGCGGCGGTGGCAGCGGCAGGGAAGGCGGAGACACCGGGGAAGGGGGACGCGGCAGGGACGGGCCGGGGGGACCACCAGAGTCAGCTGACTCCTCAACTGGGACAACCGACGGGAGGGGAGTGACGTGAGAGACACCAGACGGGGCAAGACGAGGCGGGAGAGGAGCAGGGGCTACCGGGGGAGAGGGAGCAAGGAAGAGGGGCGGGGCAACCGGGAGACCTCGGTGAGGGAAGCAGCGGTAGAAGGAGACAGACTCGTCAAAGGTGACGTCACGGGAGTGGAGGAAGCGGTGAGACGGCGGGTGGTAGAAGAGCCAGTCAGACGAGTCTAGGGGGAAACCGAGGAAGACACAGGGGACAGTGCGGGCCGTGAGCTTGTCCGTACCAGAGGCACGAACGTGAGAAAGGCAACCCCAGACGTGGAACGCAGACGCGTCACCGGGGGACCCGGTCCAAAGGAGGGTCGGCGAAACCTGCGGTCGCTGGGAGCGGGGCCACAGGTTAAGCTGGTGAGCAGCGTAGCGGACAGCGAACGGCCACAGAAAATGGGGGGCATCGGCATGGATCATGGAGGTACGAGCCACCTCCATGACCAAACCGATGCGGCGCTCAGCAACCCCATTCTGCTGTGGCGAGTCCGGCAAGGTATACGACTGGGTGATGCCCTCCGCACGACAGAACTGTCCAAGCCGACCAGAGGCGAACTCACCGCCACGGTCAGAGTGGAGACACAACACAGGGAGACCACGGTGAAGACGTGCAGCCACAACCCACGGGAGAAGAACGTCGGGCACGTCGGCCTTCCGCTCCAGGGGAAACACCGTGGTGTAGCGCGTGTAGTCGTCGACGAGCACAAGAAAGTAGCGCTCACCGCGCGGTCCGGGGACGGGGGCCGGGCCCCAAACGTCCAGGTGCAGGGTCTGAAGGGGGGCAGTAGCAGGACGCAGTGAGGAGGAGTGAGGAGCACGGCGGAGCCGGCCCTCGACGCAAGGCGTGCACGGTGGCGCAGTCGAGGGTGGGAGGGCAGGGAGCGACGCGGGGAGGCCTAAGACAAGACCGTGCTGAGACATGTGACGCAGACGTGGGAGAGCAGGGTGACCTAAGCGGTGGTGCCAGAGAAGGGACGGGTGAGTGAGGGACCGACACGAGCAAGCTGCAGCGACCTGGGAGGACGCACCAACCGGGGGGGAAGCGGTGTCGAGGGTAAACAGACCAGACACCGGGTCCCGGGGGAACGTCGCAAGAGGGGGAACCTGAGACTGCCTCGGTACAGACAGCGAACCGCTCGTACCCGGGGAACGTGGTGGTGACGCCGAGGTCCTGAAGACGGCCGACACCAACCAGGTTCCTGGAGAACGAGGGAACGTGGAAGCCTGTAAGAGAGCCCGAGGGAACGGCTGGACAGGGAAGGGAAGTGGAACTGCGAGCGACGACAGGACCGGCAGAGGGGTCAGCGAGGGAGACAACCGCAGGTGCAGCAAGCGGCGTGAGCGTGGACCGGTCACGGAAGAAACAGGCAGAAGCACCGGAGTCGAGCGTGAAGGACAGCGAGGCAGTGGCAGAGGCCGGGGACGGGGCGGGTGCAGAAGCTAGGCTAGGCAACCTAGGCAGTCCTACGCCTGACGCAGCAGGGGAAGCTAAGCTACACAAGGGTGAAACACCTAAACTAGAGTATACAGGGTAGTAAGATCCAGCAACACTAGAAGCGTCAGCATACAAAGCATGCAAAGCAGCACCTATCTGATCCATGTCTAACTCAAAGATCGGCACGCCCTGGCGGAGCAGGCTGTGCCAGTCAGGGAGGTCCGGGGCCGGGCCAAAGCGACGACGAAAAAGATCGTCGAGGCGGCGGAAACAGCGGGCAGTCGGGTGCGGGCGGCGGCACAGAGTGCCGCGGAGAGGCCCTGTCTGAAGCTGGTACTGGCAGGTCACAGCACTGGAGACGCTGGTAGACGCCAAGCTGCGCGGGCCGCCACCACGGCCACCGCCTCCGGAGGTGCCGGGCCAACCAGGCGGGAGACGGGCCCACGGCTGCGGCGGGTGCTGCTGGGACGGCGGCTGCGGCTGGGGCTGGTCCTGCTGCTGCTGGGGCTGCTGCTCCTGCCCACCGGTGGTAGTCCCCTCAGGCGGACTACCGTCACCACCACCACGACCACCACCACCTGCGTCACCACCCCTACCTCCCTGGCGGCCACGGCCACCGCGACGCAAGCGCTGCTGCGGATGGACAGCAGCAGCCGTCTCGGTAAGACGGGTCGCCGTGGCGACCGCAGCCGAAACGTCAGTGAACGTGCACTGGGATGGGGCACAGCCGTGAAAGATAGAGACTGCCGGCGCACCGCTCGACTGAGCGATAGTGCGCTGGCGAGTCTCGATCTCAGTGAGGGTGTCGACAAAGGCGGTCAGGGTGAGGTCACCCGGGTGCTGGCTAAGAAAGTGGTCGCGAGCACTAGCGAGGCGGTCTGGCAGGCGCATAGCGATAAAATAGAGCGTCATGCAGAAAGGAGGGGGGAGCGCAGTGAGCTGGGCAGCAGTGCTGGCAGTGCGATAGCGAGTCTCTAGGGCACGCAAATGAGTGGCAAAGTCTGCGACAGTAGGGAAGGCAGCCAGGTCTGGGAACAGCATCGGAAAGAGCAAGCGGCCAGCAGAAGCGGAGGCAGGGGTGGAATAGCGTGCAATAACGGCGTCTAAATAAGCTTTGGCCGTTTCAACAGTAGCAAAACGCGAGCGCTCAGACACAGGGAGGGCGTGACTAATAGCAACCTGAGCTACTGCATCGCGTGAGTCCCAGACCGCACAGGCCAGCGCAGCAGTAGAGAAAGCCTCACGGTCATCAGAGGAGGGGTCAGCAGGGAGGGGAGTAGGTGCAGGGGGGCGGGGGAGCAAGCCATCAGCATGGACAACCAGAGAGTGGCCATCCTGGCGCTGACCTGTAAGCTGGCGGCGGAGATCGGAGAGCCAGGCGGCGAAGTCAACCGCGTGGCCCTCAGCGTCCAGGCGGAGCACAAAGTCAGCCATCGTGCAGGGTCAGCGGCACAGCTCCTCAGCGACACAGCGGCACAGCGGCACAGCTCCTCAGCGGCACAGGAGCACAGCGGCGCGGGGACACGGCGGCAGCACTCTCCAGTAGGGCAGCAGCTAGGCGTCCCAGCGCAGGCGAGCAGAAGACACAGGGCCCGAGAGGACACGGCAGGCCGAGCAGGGGAGGCGGGCAGGTGCTCTGGGGCCGGGCTGGTGCTGGGAGGGGCCAGGCTGGTGCTGCTGGGGCCGGTCGGGCACGAGGAGGGGCCGGGCAGCGCTGAGGAGAGGCCGGGCGGCGCTAGGAAGGGGGCCGGGCGGCACTAGGAGGAGGCCGAGCGGCACTAGGAGGAGGCCAGGCGGGCGAGCGCTAACAGCAGGCGCGACAGGGGCCAGCGGGCGCGACGAGGCCTAAGGGGCGCGACGGGGCCCAGCGGGCACGACGGGGCCCAGGGGGGGCGCGACGGGGCCGAGGAGGCGCGACGGGGACCAGCGGGCACGACGGGGCCCAGGGGGGCCGCGACGGGGCCTGACGGGCGCGACGGGGCCCAGGGGGGGCGCGACGGGGCCTAGCAAGCGCGACGGGGCCTAGGAAGCGCGAAGGGGCCCAGCGGGCGCGACGGGGCCTAGGAGGCGCAACAGGGCCCAGCGGGCGCGACGGTGCCCAGAGGGGGCGCGACGGGGCCTAGGAGGCGCGACGGGGCCCAGCGGGCACGACAGGGCCTAGGAGGGGCGCGACGGGGCCGAACGGGCGCGACGGGGCCCAGAGGGGGGGGACGCGACGGGGCTTAGGAGGCGCGACGCTGCCTAGGAGGCACGACGGGGCTCAGCGGGCTCGACGGGGCCCATGGGGGGCGCGACGGGGCCTAGGAGGCGCGACGGGGCCCAGCGGGGGCGCGTTAGGGCCTAGGGGTCGCGACGGGGCCTAGCGGGCGCGACGGGGCCCAGGGGGAGCGCGACGGGGCCTAGGAGGCGCGACGGGGCCCAGCGGGCACGACGGGGCCCAGGGGGGGCGCGACGGGGCCTAACGAGCGCGACGGGGCCCAGGGGGGGCGCGACGGGGCCTGGGGGGCGCGACGGGGCCTAGGAGGCGCGACGGGCGGAAGCGGTAGGCGGGGGGATCCTAACCTAAGCGTGATACCATGTTAACGTAGAAACGAATGAATTACTAGGAAGAGAAACATAGAACAAATACCAGTTGGTTGTACTCACTAGAAGCACACACCTAGTCTAGCCTATAACTTCTACATAGATAATATGTATAAGTTGACATGCACATGTTAATAATTTATATTTTAAACGGGGTCAGCAAGATGCTGTCACACCCATCCTAAATGAACTAACCAACCTCTTGAAACTCATCCCCTAACAGCATGGTGGTCGTTGGTCGATCCTACCCTACGTTATGCATCATCCGCCCATGAGCGAGTCAGTCGTTCTTGTCATAACTAGTCTAAGAAGCAGCTGCAGCAGCCTTGCCAGGGAGTCAGATGTGAAAGGTGCCACAGGTTAAGAGGTGTCTACCCGACTGCAGCTCACCCTCCCTACGGGTCAGAGAGCACGTCGAGGCCGACAATGAGGAAGGCGAGCCCTTGGAAGAGCAGGAAGTAGAAGTGCACGCCGTGGGCCGTCAGCAGGCTGCGTACCGCTGCCGTCACCAGCAGCGCTGCCAGCGCTAGCTCCTTGGGATACACCCTGAGGGGTGGGGTGGGGTAGGGAGAGATAGAGAGGAGAACAAGGTGCAAGGACAGGAGAGGAGCGGGTGAGAATCTTTAGGGAAGAAGAGGCGCTGGAGTAAACGAGCAACACAGTAGGAGAGGTGCGTGCAGGCAGTGTCGGAGCAACGGTTGCAAGTCATTCTACCCCGGTGGTTCACTCTTGCTTACCTTCGGCTGGCCTTGCTCTTCTGTGCCGGAACCACTGCCACTGTTGCTGCTGCTTCACCACCACCAGCAGCAGCAGTAACAGCAGTTGTGACAGCAAGAGCGGTATGTGGTGCGGGCTTGGGAGTGGTTCGCCAGGCGTCCAGAAGGTGGGAGGGAGGTGGGGTGGGACGGAGAAGGGGAGTGGTCGTGCTGCTGCTCTGGTTGTAACTGTAGTTGTAACTGTGGCTGTAACTTTGGCTGTGGCTGTTGTTAGAGTCATCGTCAGGAGAGGTTTTGGCTTTATTAGGAGTCTGCTGCACCTGCTGCTGGTGCTGGTGCTGGTGCTGGTGCTGGTTGTGGTTGTCGTTAGGATGAGTTAGCTTGGTGGTTGGCGTGTGGTCAGTGGCTATGGAGCTCCGTGAAAGAATGTTGCTGGATAGAGCGCCCAGCACGGCTCGCTTCTGCACGTGAACGACGGGGGGAAGAGTGGATGGGAGATGAGCAAGCGGAAAGGGACTGGCAAAGAGATGCGGACAAAATGTGCTGTGAACAGGGGAAGGAGAACGAAGAGCGGAGCGGGGAAGAGAGGGAGGAAGTGAGTGTACCGGAGTGGTCATTGATTTGCCATTCACCGGAGTTGCAACAGCGGCACTCGAACCATCATCATCAGCAGCAGCAGCAGCAGCAGCAGCAGCAGCAGCAGCCGGTGACGGCACAGACGGCGGGTGTGCACCAGTCCCAGCGTCGAGCCCCCCGCGGGCACCGCCGGTCTTCTTGGTGACAACCCACTCGTGCGCGCTCTTGAGCTGGAAGAGCCCGGCCACCATGGCGTGGAACTTGGTCACCGACATGGTGTTTTCGAAGAGGAGATACGGGATGGTGAAGGGGAGGGACCTGGGCGACGGCAGCACGTTCAGCAGCGACATGAGCCCGGGGACGTAGCAGACGACCCAGAGCGGGAGCGTGGCCTCGGGCACGAAGATGGTGAGCGGGAGCAGGACGCAGAAGAGCAGGAAGGAGTAGAAGGGCAGCACCATCTTGCGCAGCAGGAAGAAGAGGAAGATCAGGTGGAACTTCTTCCACAGAGAAATCTGCAGGGCGTGGGTGGTGGGTGGTGGGTGGTGGGTGGTGGGACGGAGGGCGGAAGAGGGTGAGAGGGGAGGAAGGGGGAGGCTGGACATTTGCAACAGCGTTCCAGCGTTCCGAAAAAATTATCGTGACACGCCACGACAATACCACCCCCACCCATCTCACCCCACCCACACACACGCGCGCGCACACGCGCACGCACCTTGGCAGCGACGATATCCCCGAGGCACAGGCGGAAGATCTACATGGGCCCAAACTGCCACCGGTGCTGCTGCGCCCTACACGCCCACGCCCATCCCATCCCATCATAACCACGAGGGACACACACACGCGCACACGCACCTTAGCAGAGACGATATCCCCGAGGCACAGACGGAACAGCTGCATGGGGCCCGAGTGCCAGCGGTGCTGCTGCTTCCTATACGCCTCGTACGACTGCGGCAGCTCGCACTGCACCTCCACGTCGTTCAGAAACACGAACCGCCACCCCTTGAGATGCGCGCGCACCGCCAGGTCCATGTCCTCAACCGTCGTGCGGTCCAGCCACCCGCCGCTGTCCTCCAGCGCCTTGATCCGCCACACGCCCGCCGTGCCGTTGAACCCAAAGAACCCGAGGAACGCGCCGTTGACCTGCTGCTCGATCTCGAAGTGGAACGCCAGGTTCACGTGCTGGAGGCGCGTTAGGAGGTTCTCTTCTCGGTTCACGAAGCTCCACCGCGCCTGCACGAGCGCCACGTCAGGCTGGTCCTTGAAATGCGGGATGGTCCGTCGGAGAAAGTCCGGGCGCGGCTGGAAATCCGCGTCGAAGATCGCGACGAACTCGTACTTTCGCACGTAATCGCACGCCATCGCGCTCGCCAGATTACCCGCTTTGTAACCCTTGCGATCCGTCCGGTGGCGGTACACGATCGGCGCGCCTCGCGCCGCCCACGCCTCGACCTCACAACGAATCAGATTCGCCGTGTCCTCGTCGCTGCTGTCGTCCAGCACCTGCACCAGGAACCGGCTAGCCGGCCAATCCAACTGACACGCGGCAGCGATCGATTGGTCGTAAACCTCCCGCTCGTTACACATGGGAATCTGGACCAGAACCATCGGGAAAGCGTCGCATGCGGGACGCTCGGGGTCTGCCGCCGCGTCCGCTTCGTACCGACCCTTGGGTTGCGGGCGATAGCGGGTGATGAAGAGGTAGAGGCCGCCTATAGCGAGGACGAGACGATCGACGGACTGCAGGAGGAAGAGGTAGATGCAGAAGTTCGTCGCCCACTGCAGCGGGCGACCGATCCACGTCGCCCTGCGACGAGAGGAGGGGAAACGCGCAGAATGAGGGAGGGAGGGCAAGAGGGAGGGGAGAGGTAAGGGCGAGGAGATAACGGTGCAAGAAACACATGTCTCATTCCCACACGTGCGAGAAGAGATACGCATAACCATGACACACGTGCAACGTTGTACCGTCAGACAATTGCAAAGGAAAAAGGTTGCGTCCGGCAACCAGTGCGGGAATCTTTTATCTTACTGAATCAGCTCTTACCGGAATTCCGACCAGTGGCGGTAAATCTCATTGCCCCACACGTCCCATCGCGTGACGGTCCTTTCCCGGCCATGGTACAGCCAGTGGTACCACTCCCACTGCAACTCCCCGCTGTGCGCGCACACCTCCGCTATAAGCAGCAACACTGACACCAGCAGCAAGATTCTCAGACACAGTAGCATCCCCCTCCCTCCGCCGCCGCCGCTGAATCTCGACTTTCCGCTGGCAAGAGGACTCGAATCGTCGCCGTAATCGTAGTAACCGTCATCCTCCTCCTCCTCGTATTCATCTCCGCCGTCCGTTGCCTCATCGACGTACTCCATTCCTTTGCGTGACAGTAGCCGTTCGTGCACGGCTGACGTCAGCGTCAGGAATCCCGACGTCATCCACCGGAAAATTCCCGCTGCGCGCTGCGCCCGGAGCCACAGAAGCCACGTCACGAGTTTCGCGCTCCGCACGCGTGCCGGCTTACTTAGCGTGCTAGGCTCCCGATCTTCGAAACCAGATTCCCCGGGCCCGGAAAACGCGGTCGGAGTCGTGGGGCCTACCGGAGAATGCGGAGAGCCAAGGAGGGAATCTGACCTCGAGGCGCAGCCAGCCTCAGCTGGCACATTCGCGACAGGTCTCAAGCTGGCCGCGTCATCGGCGCCGCCAGATGCGGAGAGCAGCGAATGGCTGCTGGTGCGAGCGATCGGCAGCGTCGGAAATGCGGGGAAGGGAGAGAAGGGCGATGCGGGTGTGGGGTTCTGAGCCGTCCGATGCGGGCAAGCGGAGGCGGGCTCGAAGTCGTTTGATGCTAGGGAGAGGAAGCATGGGCGGACGCGTGACGTGGCGATAGTCGCGGGGCAGGAATCGACAGGTAACGCGGTATTCGAAGGGTGATTTACGCGTGAACTCAATGCAACAGGGGTTGTTCCTGCTGCTTGGCTCTGCGGAAAACCCCCGACGCTGATTCCGTTGCCCATTCGGTTCCACATAGACCTCGGTGCGTCGAACTGAGTAAGGTTATGGGTCTCATGTTGGCGGCTGTTTGGACTTGTATCGTGCGCCATTATGCCTGCAAAGTTGCTCATGCTACCTTACAGTTGACTGCTCAGAAGTCCAAACTAAGAGTGCGGAAACGCGGAAGATTGCTGGACGTATTTAGAGGAGTCTGGAAACATGTAGTTGGTCAAATGTTGAACGCGAGTGGACTCGATTCAAATGGGAGACTGAGTTTGTAGAGGAATGTGGGAGGGACGTCAGGGATCAATCACATTCCATACGCACATTCGCAAGCCGCGTCGCGTGCACAAATTTCTACAGAGGGCATCGCATCCTGGGCTGCGCCGTGGATGGGAAGTCATCGGCGAACTGGGCCTAAACGAAATAATGCGGTTTCGTGAGCCCGTCAGATGCCACAGTTGGCGTCGGTCTCTGTCATCAGTGTCGCCTGCTTGACACCTGCCACAGTTCTGGTTGCTGATGGGCGACTCGGTTTCCTTGCGACGGGTAGATTGGTTTCCCAAAGGAGCCGTCCTCGGCTGAAATGATTGGCTTGACGAATGGGACCAGATGTTCGAAACCGACCTCTGCCAAAATATTTGGAACCAAAAGCCTGTTGTACAGGCTACCTCTTCGCCGGCAGTTTTTTCCGAGGCGCTGGTTACCCTCTGCTTCTCCAACGTAGGTTGCTCTGAAGGTTCAATGACGGCGCAACGTCCTTGCGATTCGGTGGAAAGCCAACCCACCACCCATTCCACGACACATGTGCCAGGCACAACAGGCTGCGGTAGAAGGCCGTTTATGAAAACAGGCAAACGGGAGGGGCGCCAAGAAGGTATTCGCTTCTGTAACCTCGTTATGCTCTTGAGAAACGGGCACTGCATGCAGCGCCACGATACTACTTAAAAGGGGCAAATACGTGAGGGAAACGGGTTGTGCTAACATACATATGCAAACGACGTAGGGAATATTATCGCACTAGGCCAGGCCATTGGTGGGATTTCCCAGAGAATACAACCGAATTTACGATCTTGTAATATGCAAATGTCATGTGTCGTATATCTCGTCAAAAGTTTTCAAGAAGTTTTCACGAGGCCATTTTATTCCACAATGCCATATACTCCTGCGGTGTCATTGGCTAAGGTATTTACTAATACTAACACGAGGTTAGTAATAGTGCACATAAGTGCAGAACGCTGGACCGCTTGGGTATTGGCAGAGCCGACCAATCAGTTCAACCTGCCAGCATGGTCTCCCAACGTGACGCATTATTGGTGGCAGAAGCTTTCCATACTTCCCCTGTCCCCAAGCCAGCCCCGAGCCAAACTGGTTGAGTGCGTTGCAGGAACTCGTCCCGCGGATCATGGTGGCCAGTTTCAGTCATCAGATCGGACGGGCGCGAGTGAGCTCGGGGAATAGACGGGACGGTACGGGAACCGTCCCTGTTTGCCCCTTCAAGTTTCCCGTCCACTCTGCCTCGTCAATGTCGGTGGCTGTTGCCTCGTATCACAAACCCAGTTTCGGAACCTCGCGAGCCAGTCACGCACAGCGGAGCCTTTGCACAAACTGTACCTGTCAAGCCAGAATCCGAACGAAGACTTCCTCCAAACTACGATGCGAGGTTCGAGCCAACCAAACCGGAAAACCTTGAAAGGTCTGGGAAGAGCCCAAACCAAGGTGGGTCATATCTCCTTCCCGTACCTGTCTCGGCTCACTGATCTCCCTCCGCTCCCCTTACCCAATCACAGCCCTACCATCGCCTCGGGATCGCCGTGCCTCGATGATGACGCGTATAGCCTCCCTTTTCCCCGAACGTCCCTCCTCCCCCCCCGCCTTCCCACTTCCACCGCACTCCACTTGCTCTGCTGCTGTACAGTTCCCTCCACTTTTCAAGGGTTCAAGGCCCATTGCGATTTATTCCAGCCAAGCGAGTTTACCGTGAGGGGACGTTTGGGTTTCGTTCGCCTGCTGGAGTCAGTTGTACAGCATCTAAATTTGGATCAGCGTACATAACCGTGCAGCTGCTGCCAGTGGTCCGTTCTAGTGCCTGTCTAACGATGGTTCTTACGAGCTGTAGAGGTTAAACTATTGCCATTTCTACGTGGTTGCTCGTCGTTCTGTCAGAAGCCATGAATCCTCTTCGTCGATCTCTCTCGGCGGTTATCAAGCGATTACAAATTCAGCGTCTCCGAGCAGCCACCTGTTTAACGCCTCTCGCACTCCTACTATACGTCGTCGTTCTTCAAGCTAGCGGAGCGCTAGCCAATGTACCAGGCAATAATATTTTTTCGGGGATTGGCCGGTCGTTCCTGGAAGTCAGTGGGACTAAATCTGACAGCGTTGCTCGAAGAAACCTCCCGTTTGTCGCGGAGCTGAATTATGGCTACTTCAAACCGTCTCTCACCAGAATCTCTGCGTCGTCTTCTCGACGGAACTTAGTGGAAGCGCGGATGTGGCTTTACGGTCACGTGCTCACACAAGGGTAAGCCCTTCATCGTCTTCGTCCGCTCGTAGTTCATCTCCGGAGTCACGAGCGTGGGACCGATAACATCCGATGCGCTCATCCATGTCTAACACACAAGCTAATCAGTGATGTCCTTCCATGCCTGATTTCTGTCGCTTGTCCTTTGGACGCCGGTCCGTCTGTCCCTCCATCCCCCTGCTGAATTCACGTACTTCTTCTTCGTCCCTTCACGTCTCGCTACGCTGGTCCTGTTCTCATCCGTCCCTTCCCGTCCCGTTCCGTCCTGTCCCGTCCTGGTTCCAGCTACTACTACGCCAACTTGTGGTTCGGCACGCCTGGCCATCGCTTCGCGGTGATCGTGGATACTGGCAGCACCGTGACGTACGTGCCGTGCGCCTCGTGCACCGAGTGCGGTAGCCACCACCAGGTACGCACGGCGAGGAGGGGGGGGGAGGGGGAGAAAAAGGGGTCGGTGTTTGCAGTTAATCGCGCGCGGATTTTAGATTCGGTGGTAGGTTAAATAGCAGATTCGGCAATCAGTGTGGGATTGTAAAGGAGATTGGACAATTTTGAATAGGACGTTGGATTCAAGGTTGTAGTTCCGGGCTGGGCCCATCGGACTGTGGAGCACATAATGATGGGCCGAGTTGAAGTAAATCTCAAACGATGGACTCAAGATTGGTATCAAAAGAAAATATAAAGGCCAGCAGGCTAGCACAAGTCGTAACCTGCAAGTAAGTGCGAAACTCGACGAGTGTTTGTAGTTGGACCCACCCAGCTTCCTCCCATATTCCCTTCCCTACATCCTCTCCTCTTTTCCTCCTCCTCTCGCCTGCTGCCGTTGCCACCAGCCCTCCCAGCTAAGCGCCCCCTCACCAACCCCTCCGATCCGTGCCAGATGCGTAGCGTCTGACCATGCTGATCATGGCCGCTCCGCTATTGACGAACAAGACATCGTATCCCCCTCCCACTCTCAACCCCCTTCCCCTTTCCCCCCTTCCTTCCCCTTTCCCCCCTTCCTTCCCCTTTCCCCACTTCCCCCCGCGTCCCCCCCACTTCCCCCCGCGTCCCCCCCACTTCCCTTCTCTCCACCCGCCCACCGCAGGACCTGCCGTTTGAGCCGGAGAAGTCGTCGACGTACCAGTTTGTCCCGTGCCAGTCGGAGCAGTGCCCGTACCACGACTGCCAGGACAACTCGGACGAGTGCTCGTACGACCGCCACTACGCCGAGAACAGCAGCAGCAGCGGGCTCATCGTCTCCGACGTCGTCACCTTCGGCAACGCCTCCACGCTCCCGCCCGCGCGGATTCTCTTTGGCTGCGAGCTGGGCGAAACGGGGGATATTTACACGCAGAAGGCGGACGGGATCATGGGCATGGGGCGGGGGGAGTTGGGGATTGTGAGCCAGCTGTCGACGGGAGCTGGGAAGGTGATGGAGGAGCAGTTCTCGCTGTGCTATGGGGGCTCGGACGGGGGCGGCGGGGCCATGATCATGGGCGCCATTGAGCCGCCCGCTGGGATGAAGTTCACCAGGCTTGACATGCAAGGGTGCGTCGTGTGTCCCGCTCACTCACTCGCTCTCTCACTCGCTCTCTCACTCGCTCTCTCTTGCGCCTTCTCTCACGTGGTCCGTGTTTTGATGCGAACAGTGTGGAACCTATTCAGGAGGACCACAGAGTTAGATGGGAGCAGGAGACGAACAAAGGGACTTAGCAAACTCCACCAAGCAGACTCATACAAGGCAGAAAATGAGCTGGTTGACGACGCCCATTTCCTGCGTTCCCTGAAGTAAAAGAAACTTCTCCCTTACTCGCTGCCAGTCTCAACCATCTTTCACTTCCTCTACCCTCCCATTCCACCCCCCCTTCCCCCCCACCCCAAGGCAGTGGCAGGGCCTACTACACCGTGGCCCTCAGCACCATCCCGGTGGACGGCAAGCCTTTCTTGAGGCGCTTCAAAACGTCGCTGCCTCTTTGCTCCCTTCCATTCCCCCATCCCCTCCCCTCCACCCTGCAGTGGCAGCACGCACTACGACGTGATCCTCAGCACGATCAAGGTGACGGCAAATCTTTCATGAGGCGCCTCTACACGTCGCTCTCACTCTCTGCTCCCTTCCCTCTCCCCTCCCTTACATTCCCCGTCTATCCCCCCCCCCACCCCCCGGCAGTAGCAGCACGTACTACAACGTGATCCTCAACACCATCAAGGTGGACGGCAAGCCTCTGCCGCTGGACGCGTCGGTGTTCCGCGGCGGGTACGGCGTGGTGATGGACAGCGGCACCACCTTCTCCTACCTGCCGCGCAAGGCCTTCGAGGCCTTCAAAACCGCTGTGAGTCGTCCTCAAGTGCTTTCTGGGTGTGGGCTGGTGATGGGTGGGCTGATGGGGGCCGATTGGGGGCGATGGGGTTTTGCTGGGCCCTGATGGGGGGTGATCAGGGCTGTTAGGGGCTGAAAGGCCCAAGGATAAACTGTTGACGATGTTTATTAAAAGTAGCTGGTGATTAGATCTGGGACATCTGCCCGTGTGCTTCAGTGTACTGGCGGACATCTAATGTTCGAATTAAGCCGGGCACCGGGGCCACTGGGCTTCCTTGTGCAGCAGAATGCATATGTCCTCACTGGGTCATGGTGTTGCTGCTGTCTTGTCGCTGCATGGGTGTGTGTTGCAGGTGGATGCGGGAGTGAAGGGCGTGCAGAGCGTTCCTGGCCCAGATTCGGTGTACCAGGACGTGTGCTATGGCGGAGCCTCAGAGTGAGTTCTCCCTCACTTTCGACTCCTACTTACCCCCACCTCAACCCCCCTCCCTCCCGCACCTTTCCTCTCGTCCTCCCTCCTCTCTCTCGCACACTCAGGGACAGAAACTCTCAGCTATCTCTCTCACACAAACACAAAGACTCGTTCGCTCACCCTCCATTCCTCGGCTCCTCTTTCCTCATACATCCCCTCTGTCTCAACCCCCCAACCCCAACCTGGGGTGAAGGGAAGTTACGCATTGTTGGTGCTGCTGGTCCAACGCTGAGCATCGATGTGTCTCAAAACCCAGGGCTGCTGGGGAGGTTGTGACCACTGCAACAAGAGAGAGAAGAGGAAGGGGGAGGGCGGGTGGGTTGGAGGGTGGAGCAATGTTAACTGAGTTGAGTGCGCTGGGTGGTAACTCACTTGCTCCCCTCGTCTCCCTCACCTTTTTTCTCTCTCCTCTTCAACTCTCTCCATGCTCCCTTCCTTCTTGCCTGCCTGTCCGCCTGTCCGTCTGCCGGTGTGCCCGTGCTCCCTCTGCCCGCGTGTGGGAGCAGCAAGATAGAGGAGCTGTCCAACCACTTCCCCTCGGTCTCCTTCACCTTTGATGGCGACGTCGTCTATGACCTCACGCCAGAGAACTACCTCTTTCGGGTGCGTTTGTCAGCTGGAAACCCCTTACTGTGTTCCAATACCTGTCCCTGCCTCCGTTCCTCTCCCTGTCCTCTCCCTGTCCTCTCCCTGTCCTTGCCAATGTTCGTGTACGTATGCGCCGTCACCTACTCTCCTGTATATCTACCTAGTAGGGCCTCTGTTCCTCCTTTGTGTGCGAGGCTTCCAGAAAAAGTCTAGTGCTTACAGTGCAATTTTTTAATACTCTTTCCTTGAAGCACTTCACCAGTGCTCCTGTCCACGCACCTTGCTCCATCCGTGGTTTTTCCCTCACCTTGCCTGCCTGTGTCCCTCCCTACTCGCCTGCGCCCCCTCCTTCTCGCCTGCGCCCCTCCCTTCTCGCCTGTGCGTTTTCTCCCGCCTGCTGGCACCACACCACCTGCAGCATGTGAAAGAGCCGGGTTCCTACTGCCTGGGGTTCTTCAAGAACAACGACCGGGGAACACTCATCGGAGGTCAGTTGTGCCCTGTCTCCATTCTCTCTGTGCTCCGCCCACTCCTTTCCCTCCCTCCCCTTCATTGGCCCTTCATTGCGTCTTATGACTGTGTGCACTGCCAGATGGGCATGTGTGTTGAGTCGAGGCACTGAGCTGGTGCCTCTCACGCTGCCCGCCCCTGTGCTCCCCCCCACCTCCCCCCTCCCCCCCTCCCCCCCTCCTCCCCTCCCCCCTCTGGCATCATAATGCGCAACACCCTAATGACGTACGACCGTGTGAACAGCCACCACATTCCGCAGGGGCATGTGCGCTGAGGAAGGCGATTCTCACCTCACACTGCCTGCTCCCTGTGCTTTCTTCCCCCCTCCTGTGCAGGCATTATAATGCGCAACACCCTGGTGACGTACGACCGTGTGAACAGCCGCATCGGCATGTGGAAGACGGACTGCCAGCAGCTGTACCAGGGGCTCCAGCAGGCGTATACAGAGCAAGGACTCAACCCCGCGCCCCTCCCAGAATACCTGCTCAATGAACCTCCCCCCCTGCCGGATTCCGCTGTCGAAGCCAATAAAAATGGTGGAAGTGGTGGCTCAGAGGGAGGGGGGGGGAGTGGGAGTGGGGAGAAAGGGGATGAAGGAGGGGGTGGAGGGGGAGGGGACGAGGGAGCGGGTGGTGATGAGGCCAGTTCAGGCGACGGGGCGTCTGGTGACGAGTCTGTTATATGTGAGTTGCTATGGAATGCGTTAAGTGCTCTCACATGCACCGTGGCATGGCATGGCATGGTTTGAGCAGCCCTCGAGTGTGCATGTTACATCCCTTCCTGAAATTCTGGCTCCCTGCCGGCCATTTCCCACCCCCTGCCCTCATTCTGCCATGCCATGCTGCCATGCGCCTCTGCCATGCCATGTTGCCATGCGCCTCTGCTTTTCTCACCCTTCTCCCTTCCCCTAACACCCTCAGCCACCCCATCCGGCATTCAACCCCTCAGTGTCGTGTGACGGCTGTGCGGGCAGCATTGTGGCGGACCTCCTGGTGGGACTGCTTCTGCTCCTCTCGCCCTCCCCCTGCCCCCACTGTCCTCACAATCCCGTTTAAGCTTATCATCCTAACGGTCCCATCCCATACCACCCACCTACCCTACAACAGTGTCATGTGACGGCTGTGCTGGCAGCATTGTGGCGGACCTGCTGGTGGGGCTGCCTCTGCTGCAGTTCGCCCCGCTCGTCAACCCCTTTGTGCACGACCTCTCACGGGAGCTGGGGCTGCTGGAGTCGCAGGTGCGTGCAGACAGTTGGGAGGGGGAGGGGTGGGGGTGGGGGTGGGGGGGGGTTCGCTGGGAAGGGCATTTGGGCACACCCCACTCGTCAGCCCTGTTGTGCACGACCTCTCGGGGGAGCTGGCGCTGCTGGAATCACAGGTGCGTGCACGCAGATGGGAGGGGGGGGGTGGGGGAGTGGTGGGGAGGGAATATGAGCACACACCTGTTCGTCAACCCCTTTGTGCACGACCTCTTGCGGGAGCTGGGGCTGCTGGAGTCGCAGGTGCGTGCAGACAGATGGGAGGGGGGGGAAGGGAGGCGTGGGGGGGGATTCGCTGGGAAGGGCATTTGGGCATACCTGGCTCGTCAGCCCCGTTATGCGATATTTCTCACTGGAGCTGGGGCTGCTGGAGTTGCAGGCGCGTGCAGACTGAGGAGAGGGGGGGAAGAGGGGCAAAGAGAGGGTTGGGTGGGGTGGGGGAGGACAAGCAGGAGAGACCATTTGTGTGCCCTTCGATCGACCATACTTGCTACAGCCCAGTAGGCGCCGTGGAACCAATCACACCAGCACCCCCATCCCTTCGCCCCCCTTTGCGTCTCCCTCCGTCTCTATTCTCTCCCCCTCCCAGGTCACAGTGGTGAGCTTTCACGAGGGCGAAGGCACTGCCCAGCAGCAGCAGCAAGCGGCAGGGGAGGGAGGCAGTGGTGCCGCGGGCAGTGTGGCAGCGGCAGGCGTGGGCAGCACGCGGGTGAACATCTCCATCCTGCCCTCGCCGCCTCAAGTTGTCCTCGACAAGGCCACCGTGCAGGTGAGGGGTGAGGGGTGAGGGGTGAGGGGTGAGGGGTGAGGGGATTTTTGAGGCACCTTAAAGGTGACTGGGGCAGTGAGGCAGCGTTGGGCACATCTCCATCATGCCCTCGCCGTTAAGTTGTCCTCGACAAGGCCACCGTGCACGTGAGGGCACGCCCAGGAGCGCTTTCTGTTCATTTGGATGAAATGGCGATGGGAGAAGGGCGAGGGACGAGGAGCAAGGGGCGAGAGATTGAGACAAGGGGTGATATGGAGTGGCATGGTTATGGACTCCATGGCGCACCTTCTATGCATGTGTTTTCTCCTAACTGAAGCCCACATGTGTGTTGCAGAGCTGCACGTCTATATGCAGTGTGCTTGGGTGAACCATTCTCACACCACCCGTGCCGCTCTCCTCTCTGGCGCTCTACAATTCCTCATCTACGGCACCCACCCTTCTCCCTCTCTCTCGCTTGTCTCCCCACCCACCCCCTCTCCCTTCACCTGCAGCGAGCAGTGAAAGTGTTGCAGGTGCAGCAGACCCCCCTGGCCATCCAGGGTGTGTCTGGGACAGCTGCTCTCTCACACTACCCGTTCCTTATCCCTCACCCATAACCACTCGCCCCCCACCCCTCCTCTCTTGCGCTCTCGCTCCCTCTCCCCCCCCTCTCTCCGCAGCGAGTGGTGAACGTGCTGCAGAGCAGCATGGCCATCCGGGATGTGTTTGGGACGGTCACCGTGCTGCATGTGCAAGTGGTGCAGGCTCCCGCTCAGGGCTCCAGGTGAGCCCGTGGGAGGAAGGAGGGCGAGGAAGAGGGGAGAGGGGGAGAGGCAGGGATGTGTACAGTGTATGGAGGAAAGGGGGCTCTGTTTGTCGAATTTGGTTGAAGTTTGTCACGGAGGAGGGTCATAGAGAACTGGGTGGAGGAGGTGGGAGAAGCGTAGGCTCATGGGCTACCATCTGTTCCTCCCTCCTCTGCCCTTTCACTCCTGCCGCTCCCTCTCACTTCCCTCCAACCCCTTAGTTTCCCCCTTCCATTCTCCCTTTTCTTGTCGCTTGGCCTGCGTTGCAGCTCCCCGTTCATCTGGCTAGGAGTGGGGGCTCTTTCTCTAGTGCTCCTGCTGCTGCTGCTCCTCTTCGCGTGCTACTGCTGCTGCAGACGGAGATCTGATGGGATATCTGCAAGGGTCGAGGAAAGAGACGAGGAGGAGGGGTTGGCGGATAACGAGGAGGGAAAGGGGAACGATGCTGGGAATGGGGAAGAGGAAGGGGATGGGGAACTGGGTGAAAAGGGTGTCAAGGTCGGTTTGTTTGGAAGTGGGAAGGTGCAGAGCGGTTCGGGGGAGGCGATGTCGATGTTAAATGGGCGTGAGGAGGGGGAGGAAGTGGAGGAGGAGGGAGAGAAGGTGACGATTCTTCAGCAGAGGGAGCCCAGTGCTCCTCATTTGTGATTTTTTGTCAGGGTGGGTGCTCTCTTGTTTCTTGGATTTTGAGTTGATGGTTGTATAAGATCAATCTTAAGTATTGTTGGTCGCAATGGATGGAATGCATAAGTGCCACCCTATCCTGTTTGGCCACACAAAAATGTGAGTGTATGGGGGGTTAAGCATGGATGCTAGTACCATACGTGAAGATTTTATAGCATATGAATTGAAATACCGTTATATTCACGCTTCCAGGTGCTACAGGATTGCAACCACGACGCTGTTCTCCAATGGCACCGCCCCAGAGCTGTTTTCGCAGGTCCTTTCCTTTGCCCTCCGAGACCTCCCGTCCCGCCAGTTCCCTGTTCTTCCCCTCCCCCGATTCTTCTCCCCATCATCCCCGCCCCCCCTGCTTCCTTCCGCGCCTCCCCCCCCCCCTCCCCCACGGTTGTATTTATTGCCAAAGCGGCCGATCACATCTTAGTGGCCAGCCCAGTTACTGACAAATGATCGGTTCTGACAGGCGGCTGACTTTTTTACAGGCCTGCGAGGTGGACGTCGCGTTTTGTAGCTTAGGTCGTAACTTAGGTACTTAGGGTTTCGTCGCATTGTTGGGAGCGGGTAGATGAATTGATGGCAAAAGTCGGCAACTAACTTGACCAGGCAATAAAGGATCCATTACAATTTTTTCGATCGGTAATAACGAGTTTTGATTCAGTTTTCTGTTCCGTTCTTTCCGGCGTCACGATGAGCGGCTCCCCGAAAGGCGAGAAGCTGAAACCGACGTTTCGACTGCTGCAAGTGCATCCGCGTACGTATCGCCGGACAAACCTCCCCTGTCTCATAAACTCTCTTTCTACTCTGACCTACGATTCCGCGACGGCAGGTAATGCATATCACCTCGCTCGCGGTTAGTGCTCTGGCTCGCTCGCTCTGGCTCACATCGCGTCACTGACTGGCTAAAATTGCTTCCGCTTGTCATTTTCAACAGGTACTCCACCGCGTTCCCAATCCGCATGCCGCTTCTTGGTCCTTCCCCATTTTTGAGGCGCCTCAAAAATAGACTCCTCTGCTTCTTGTTCGTTCCCCATTGCACCGTCTCTCCGTTTTCCCCCAACCTATTCCACCCCCACCCCGACGGCCCCCAACGCCTCCCCTCTTCCTCCCCCCGTTTCCCGCCCCCGGCCCCTCCCCTTGCCCCTCCCCCCCCCCCCCCGTCCCTTCCCCCTCGTATCCGCAGGGCGCAAGGAGATATCCGGATCGGCGGACATTCTCCGCCAGGCGGGGCTAGAGGGCCCCTACCAGGTGCTGTGCGAGCGCGCGCTTGCGCCGTCCGCGGTGGAATCGGGGTGCCTTGCGCGGATCCCGGGGGAGGTGGACATCCGCCAGGGCCCGCGGATGGAGCTGGCGGAAGTTCTGGACTCCATCGGCCGCCCCGTGGACGACGGTGCCGGGGGAGCGGGGGGAGCGGGGGAGGGGTCGGCGGTGCTGCAGCCGTTAGCGGTGGATGTGCTGCTCCGCGCGTTCTCCTTCAGCGATAGAGCCGCCGTGGCGCTGCCTGACGTGAGTGGCGCTGCCTGACGTGAGTGGCGCTGCCTGACGTGGCGGCGGTAGATTGCGGTGCACGCTGACGGCGTAGGGCGCTGGGTGTGTTGGGACGCTGCGTTCTTAGGATGTTGAGTATTTACGGCCTTGAGTGCTTAGGGCGTTGAGTGCATGGGGCATTGAACGTTTAGGGCCTTGAGTGATTTGGTTGGGAAATGGGGGGAGGTGCGAAGAGGCAATGGAGTGGAGGCGGGTTCATTTGGTGCTGAGTTGCTGAGTGGGTAGATATATATAGATGTGATCGTTAATGGGATGCGAGCATTAATGGGATGCGAGCATTAATGGGATGTGAGCATTAATGGGATGTGAGCATTAATGGGATGCGAGCATTAATGGGATGCGAGCATTAATGGGATGTGAGCATTAATGGGATGCGAGCATTAATGGGATGCGAGCATTAATGGGATGCGAGCATTAATGGGATGTGAGCATTAATGGGATGTGAGCATTAATGGGATGCGAGCATTAATGGGATGTGAGCATTAATGGGATGTGAGCATTAATGGGATGCGAGCATTAATGGGATGTGAGCATTAATGGGATGTGAGCATTAATGGGATGTGAGCATTAATGGGATGCGAGCATTAATGGGATGTGAGCATTAATGGGATGTGAGCATTAATGGGATGCGAGCATTAATGGGATGTGAGCATTAATGGGATGTGAGCATTAATGGGATGTGAGCAGCGGTGGCGCTTTCGCGTGGCTAATCTACTCACAAGCGACCGTCCTTGTCATACTCCCTTCCTTGCCATACTCCCTTGGTCCCTTGTCTGGGTTGTGGCACTTGCAGACGGAGCGAGGGAAGGCGACTGTAAGCAGCAGCTGGCGCGGGGCAAACGGCAGTAGAGGGGCGGGGGGCAAGGAGCGCGAGAGAGAGAGGGAGTCCAGCAGGCACCGGAGTAAAGACAAGTCGAGAGACGGGGAGAGGCGGCATAAAGACAGGGATAGGGATAAGAAGGAGAAGGATAGGAAGGATAAGGAGCGGAAGGAGAAGGAGAGGAGGGAGAGGGAGAAGATTGAGGGGGCGAGGGTGAAAGGGGATGAGAGAGAGAGGAAGGAACGAGAAGAGAGGGAAAGGAGGGAGAGAGAAGAGCGGGAGAGGAAGGAGAAGGAGGAGAGGGAACGTAAGCTACGGGAGGAGAAGGAGAAGGAACGGGTAAAGGAGAGGGAGAGAGAGAAAGAGAAGGAGCGGGAACGAGAGCGTGAGCGGGCTAAGGAGAAGGAGCGGAAGGAGAAGGAGGCTGAGAGGGCGAAAAATGGGGGCAAGTCAAGAGTGGATAAACCACAAGAGGGCGCTGCTGCTGCCACCACTGCTGCTGCTACGACTGCTGCTGCAGCTGCTGCTGAGGCTGCGGCTGCTGTTGCTGTTGCGGGGATTGGTGCCTCTTCTGCTGCTGCTGCTGCTGGTGCCAGTGCGATGCTGCCAGCAGCAGCAGCAGCAGCAGCAGCAGGAGGGGAGGGCGTGGATCCCAAGAAGCTAAAGAAGAAGGTCAGTTTCCCCCGTACTGCCATGCTCTGTGCATGTTCCGCTTGTCGTTCCTGTCCCTCCTGTCTCTCCTCCCTTCTCCTGTCCCTCTTCCTCCTGTCCCTCTCCCTCCTGTCCCTCCTGTCCCTCCTGTCTCTCCTGTCGTTCCTTCCTCTCCTCTCCGCTCCTGTCTCTCGCTCTTCTGAGTGCCTCAACCTCCTCCTGCCCGACTACTTTGTCCTGTGTGCTGCTTTGTGCTCGTCCCAAGCTGCATGTTCAGAAGCGCAAGAGGGATGGCGAGCCTGAGAAGCCCAGCTCGGACAAGAAGCACAAGAAGAAGGTGAGCAGGAGTGGAGGATGGTGAGGAGCGGTGGCGCAAGGTGAGGAGGAGACCTATGCGGGGTTGAGAATCATGCAATGCGACATGTTGACAGCTGTGTGCTCCTCACCTGCCCACCTCCCCATGTGCTCCCCACATGCTCCCCACATGCTCGCATATCTCTCCCCACCTGACCTGCAACCTCTCCCCATACCATTCTCTGCAATAGAGTGCAACAGTCAGAGTGCTCGTAAAACTTCCTGTCCTGTAAAGCGCATTTTTCGTTTTCCTCCACATCATTTCCCTACCTTGAGCTATGTGTTACTAATTGTTTGTCCGTGTGTGTTACTGTGTGTGTCACTGCTCGTGCGACTGGTTGTGAATGACTGTGTATGTTTCCTGTGTATGGCTGTGTGTTGCTATGTGGGGCCTGTTGCATTACGGCGGAGCAGAAGGACAAGCACAGCAGCGGAGGCAAGGATGCAGCAGCAGTGGTGGTGCTACAGGAGAATGGCACTTGAGACTCCAGGGTGAGTGGGTGATGTGCGAGTGGGTGCTGTGCGAGTGGGTAATGCTTGAGTAAATCATTGGGTAAGAAGATACAACGTGCGGGACCTACGGGACTGGCTACTATGTGTGGCGCCCCCTATGGGTGTCTCTCCATCCATATACTGTCTTGCACACCATGGGGAGCGGAGCCGGCAGACTTTCGCCATGCAATGTCATGTGAATGCGGTACCCTCTCCAGCAGGCACTCAGAGGACTTGGTGGATGTGTTTGTCGTGGTAGGCACGGGTGGTACGGTCATGCGCGCATCGCATGGGCTGCCACATGGCGCATCGCATGGGCTGCCACATGATGCATCGCATGGGCTGCCACATGATGCATCGCATGGGCTGCCACATGATGCATCGCATGGGCTGCCACATGATGCATCGCATGGGCTGCCACATGATGCATCGCATGGGCTGCCACATGATGCATCGCATGGGCTGCCACATGATGCATCGCATGGGCTGCCACGTGATGCATCGCATGGGCTGCCACGTGATGCATCGCATGGGCTGCCACGTGATGCATCGTATGGGCTGCCACATGATGCATCGCGTGGGCTGCCACATGATGCATCGCATGGGCTGCCACATGATGCATCGCATGGGCTGCCACATGATACATCGCATGGGCTGCCACATGATGCATCGCATGGGCTGCCACATGATGCATCGCATGGGCTGCCACATGATGCATCGTATGGGCTGCCACGTGATGCATCGCATGGGCTGCCACATGATGCATCGCATGGGCTGCCACATGATGCATCGCATGGGCTGCCACATGATGCATCGCATGGGCTGCCACATGATGCATCGCATGGGCTGCCACATGATGCATCGCATGGGCTGCCACATGATGCATCGCATGGGCTGCCACATGATGCATCGCATGGGCTGCCACATGATGCATCGCATGGGCTGCCACATGATGCATCGCATGGGCTGCCACATGATGCATCGCATGGGCTGCCACATGATGCATCGCATGGAAAGCCACATGATGCATCGCATGGGCTGCCACATGATGCATCGCATGGGCTGCCACATGATGCATCGCATGGGCTGCCACATGATGCTTGCTGTGTGCTGTGTGCTTCACGTGATGACTTTTGAGGCGACTCAAAAGTCTGCTGCATGATGTGTGTGCTGTGTGCTGTGTGCTGCGTGCTTGACACGATGGCTTGGTTTTGAGTAAATTCAAAAAGCAAATGCCACATGACATGATGTTTGCAGAGTGCTTCACTTGATGACTTGGCTTGCTGTGGGAAACAGGAGTAGGCACTGGGAGGGACCAGACCTGCAATCACTACCATCACCATCACTGCAATCATTACCATTACCACCACCATCACTGCAATCACTACCATCACCATCACCACACTCACCAATATTTCCCACTACCCTGTGGCAGGAAACCAGGGATCAAGGGCACCCATGTCCGCTTATGGAGGCTCCCTGTCTCATTTTCTGAGAGCCCTCCCTCCTGCCGCGCACCACACCACAAGCTGAAGCATGTCTCAGCCAAGCCAGCAGCAGCACTCTGCCATACTCAGTCTTCTCTAAGAGCATGTGAAATTTAATATTAAAGAGGCTCATCATTTTACTGGACCTTGGATTTGTGTATTGTTTCAGCAATGCCAGTATGTTACCGGCCCTAAAGATAGATCACCCAGCCAACAACGTCATGATAGCTAGTGTTGTGGTGATAGCGGTATTTGACAATGTTGGTGTATCAATAGAGCCGTGAAAAATGATTGGTGGTTCAGTGTAGCTGGACTTGACAATAAAAGAAATCATTACATGACAAAAGAATAATGTCATCTATAGTACTCATCTATCAAGTTCAGGCGAACTGTGATGATCCAGCCTGTAAAATATGGGGCCCAGCATTTGAGACCTGTAGTCTGTCTGACGTGACGCCCCAACAATTGTCTTGTGGGGCCCACCTACCAGTGCACTGCAAACAGTGCATTTAATGCTACCTAGTCAGGGATTCTCAGGCAATTCATATCAAGCATACATGCAACTACCATACATTAATCCATGCCCTCCAAATCAGTTTCTAACTAAAGGTGTTGCTGGTAGGCTGTGCTTGCTGCACTTCCTCGGAGCAGTGTGCGTGTCAAGCCAGATGGCACCCCATCCCATCCATCCCATCCCACCCACCCACCCATGTGCACTCCCCACCCACCCCACCACCTCACAGCACAGTGCCACACTGATTTGGAGGACTATGCGGAAAACTACAAGTTCCACTCCACTTCCTCACACTTCCCTCCCCTCTTCCACTTCCTCTTCCCCTCCCCCTTACTCACTTCCCTTCCTCCCTCCAGCCTCATTCTAGTCCCTCCACTCAATCTAGACTACTCCGGGACCCTTCCTCCCAACCCAGTGCTGGGTGCTACAGGCCTACTAAGAGGCCCCACATCGACCGCGCTGCCCCAGATTAAGAGGCTTCAATTAGGTACCGAACTAGGAGGCCGCAGCTAGAAAGGCCTTCTTACGAGGCCGCCACACACGGCAGCAGGACCCATGGAGCAAAGGCAGCACCACCACTACTGTAGCTGTGCCCACAATCATACCCACAGTCATGCCCCCATGGCCATGCCCCCATGGCTATGCTCCCATGGCTATGCCCCCTGGCCATGTCCACATGTCGCCCCTCACCTCACCCCTGTCCTGGAACAGCCCCTCCCCCTCCTCCCGCACCCCCCCCTCCCTCCTGCCCTTCCTGCCCATACCCCCCCCTCCTCCCTCATACCCCCCCTGCCCCTGCTGCCCATACCCCCCATACCCCCCTGCTGCTGCTGCCCCCCTCCCCCCTGCCCCTGCTGCTGCGCATACGGATCCATCCCCTGCTGCTGCCCCCCCTGCTGCCCCTGCTGCTGCTGCCCGTAGTAGTCATAGCCCCCCCCCTGCTGCTGCCCCCCATAGTACCCTCCCCCCTGCTGTGCATACTGCTGCTGCCCATACCCTCCCCCCTCCTGCTGCCCATATCCCTCTCCTCCCCCTCCTGCTCCTCCGCCTGCCCCTGCTGCCGCTGCGCCTGCTTCCCCTCCTCCCCCTTGCTGCCCGTAGCCCCCCCTTGGTAGTTGTAATACCCTCCCCCCTGCCCCCCCTGCGCCCCATACCCGTACCCTCCATCTGCTCCCCCTTCCGCCCCCCCTGCAGCGCCATTCCCCGCCCCTGCTTCCCCCCTGCGCCCTGTCCGCCCCCCTGCCCCTGCCCATAGTAGCCATACCCTCCCCCTCCCCCCTGCCCCATACCCGCAGGTCCCCCCTGCTGCCCCTGCCCCCATCCTTCCCCCCGCCCCCATACTCCCCTCCCCCTTGCTGCCCGTATCCCCCATACCCTCCCCCGCCCCCTTGTCCGCCATACCCCCCCCATACCCCCCACCCCCGTACCCCCCTCCCTGCTGCCAGCCCTGGTTCTGCCCCCCTCCCCCGCCCTGCCACTGCTGCTGCTGTCGGAATCCTCCATATCCACCCCCGCCCCCGCCGCGCCGATTGGACTGGAGGGAGGATGCACGCGCGGGGGAGTGGGGAGGGACGAAAGGGGGAGAAGGGGCTTTAAGGCGAGCAATGAAGCGGGCTTTGAGGCGAGCAATGAAGCGGGCTTAGAGGCGAGCAATGAAGCGGGCTTTAAGGCGAGCATGTCCTCCTCCTGGACGGACACCACGCGTCACAGGCGTACCTCGGTCCTCGGTAGAGCACCTCATTGACGAGTGTTTTTGAAATTTCTCAAAAACACCATGCAAAATCGTCCAGCACCTCGTTGACGAGCTCCTGCACCATGTCCGTCAGCCTTAGAGGCGCATCACACCTAAGCTGCTTGGGTGCCCATGGGCATGCATACATGTGCTCCCATACACCACGCCTGACAGCCATGTCCGCCTGCTCTAGAGGCGTTCCACGCCCAACCCACTCGTGAGGCGCCTCACACCTAACCCCACGAGCAGAGCAGAGCAGAGCGGAGCAGGGCAGCGCCCCTCAGCGCCGTGTGTGCCGTGCATAGCTCGTCTGCTGATGAGAGCTCCTGTGCCATGTCCGTCTGCTCCATAGGAGCCCCCCACCTGACCGGGTTCTGAGGCGCCTCCAAGGCGCACTTGACAGGCGTACCGAGCTCCTGCGCCATGTCCGTCAGCGCTAGAGGCGGTCCACGCCTAACCCACTTGTGAGGCGCCCCACACCTAACCCCATGAGCAGAGCAGAGCAGAGCGGGGCAGGGCAGCGCCCCTCAGCGACGGGCGTACCTCGTCGAGCACCTCGTTGATGAGCTCCTGCGCCATGTCCGTCTGCTGCTTGTTGCCCATCAGCATCACCGTGCGCTCCATGCTCCCCGGCTGCACCTCGCGGTCGCTCTGGATCTGCGCGCCCGCCGCACCCGCACGCCGCGGGTGACAGCGAGCGAACGGGACAAGGAGAGAAGAGAGGGGGGGGGGGGAGGGGAGGGGAGGGGAGGGGAGAGAGAGAGGGAAAAGCAAACGGACGTTGGAAGTCCGTTGACGCAAACAGAAGCTTGAGACGCGTCGAAGCGGATAAGCGCAAGTGAATCAGATTTCTCAGTCGACTTTTCAACCGGCACACGAACCCTGTGCCATCGCGCACCGGCACGGGACATGAGCATCGGGGGGGGGGGGGGGGGGACACGCAATGCCAGGAACGAAGCAGGACAGAGCAAGATGTAGGAGCAAGCAGCAAGGAGCAAGGAGAGAGCAGCAGGCAGCACGGCGCACGTGCCTGAATGCGCGCGCCAGAGCGATTCTGAAGGTTCTTGATGGTCTCGCCCCCGCGACCAATGATGAGCCCCACCTGCTCACGGCATGGAGAGGCGACGGGGAACAGGGCGGCGGGACGAAAGGGGGAGGGAAGAGGGAAGAAAGGGGGAGGGAAAAGGATGGGGGGGGGAAGGAAAAGGGAAAAAGGGAGAGGAGGAAAAGGGAGGAGAGAAGAGGGGAGGGAAGGGGAGAAAGGGGGGAGAAATTGGTTAAAGGAGAGGAGACGGCGATAGGATGGTGAGTGGGAGATAGCAGACCCCTACGAATCCGCACGGTTCCCCTACGATCCCCTACGGACCTGCATCTGAGAAAACGGGTCCTCAGAATGCGGGTCTGCGTACAAGAGGAGGTCAGCTAGAACCGCAGCTAGCACACGCACGCACACGCGCAGGCGCAGGCGCAGCTGGGTATTGGTGGATTTGAAAGATGCGAGCAGGTGATTGCTGAGTTGCAGGCATCAGTTGACTGGACAGATATCGCTGACTGCAGTCAACTGTTGAGGCGCCTCAAAAATTGACTGGAGTCAACTGTTGAATGGAAGATGCTGCAGAGGAGTCACGGAGTGCCTGCCTGACTGAATGGCTGCCGCCGCCACCCACACGGCACTAGGGGACAAAGCACGACCAGCCATCGATGCAAACCCGACTCCAGAGTGGCGCTCACAGTGTCGCTCTCTTGATCCGCGATTCAGTCAAGACTCGAGTCAAGAGTCGAGGCAAGAGTCAAGGCAAGAGTCGAGGCAAGAGTCGAGGCAAGAGTCGAGGCAAGAGTCGAGGCAAGAGTCGAGGCAAGAGTCGAGGCAAGAGTCGAGGCAAGAGTCGAGGCAAGAGTCGAGGCAAGAGTCGAGGCAAGAGTCGAGGCAAGAGTCGAGGCAAGAGTCGAGGCAAGAGTCGAGGCAAGAGTCGAGGCAAGAGTCGAGGCAAGAGTCGAGGCAAGACTTTCAAACAGCACTTTCCATTGCAATCAAGACTCGAGCGCTGCTCGCTCACTTTCCATCCACTCGTTCTGGAGTAAATGGGAAGTGCTGGTTCAATCAATCGCGTCATTTGCGGCGAGCCGGGATGAGCCACAAGCAGGATCGAACAAACGAAAACGCACGCAAGCAGCTGCTGCGCAAAGGAACAAACGCGCGCACTAACGAGCGGACGGCAAAACTGCAAGCAGCAAACTGCGTGCTGCGTGCTGCGAGGCTCATCCTCCTGAACGCACGAACGCGCGGCGTGCAGGAGGCAAGGCAACTGGCACGCGACTCTTGTGGATGGCTCACACTCACTCACCCGGCCGTTGGGAATCTGGATGGACACCGACTCGCTGCTGGCTGCAAATGCCCTGCCGCCGCTCGCCGCCTGGTGCTTGGGGGGTGCATGGGGGCGGGCGCAACAGCACAGGGGGTCGAGAGAGAGCGGTTCAACGGGGGTGGACGGTTCAAAGGGGGTCGTGCTCTGTCATTCTGCGCGGCGCCTCCACCCCTCCTTCCTACCCCATCCCGCACTAACCGCGTCCAGCACCTGCATATTAGCACCTGTATATTAGCACCTGTATATTAGCACCTGTACATTAGCACCTGTATATTAGCACCTGTACATTAGCACCTGTATATTAGCACCTGTATATTAGCACCTGTACATTAGCACCTGTATATTAGCACCTGTACATTAGCACCTGTATATTAGCACCTGTACATTAGCACCTGTATATTAGCACCTGTATATTAGCACCTGTATATTAGCACCTGTACATTAGCACCTGTACATTAGCACCTGTATATTAGCACCTGTATATTAGCACCTGTACATTAGCACCTGTATATTAGCACCTGTACATCAGCACCTGTATATTAGCACCTGCATATTAGCACCTGCATATTACCACCTGCATATTAGCACCTGCATATTAGCACCTGTGAATCGGCACCCGGCCACCCATCTCGAATCCGGCTCCTCCTACCCCACCTCTCATCCCCCACTGGGCGGTTCCTTCAATCCCACGCTCGCCTCGTCCCTGGCGGAGGCGCACCTGGCGGAAGAGCACCGCCGTGACGTGGCGATGCTCCAGCAGAGAGTGGACGGAGTGGAGCCCCGCTTGAACACGTGCGACATTCTCGTCCCCCCTCATCCGTCGCGCTCACCTCGTCCAGCACCTGGCGGATGAGCGCCTCCTCCTGCGCCAACTTCCACCTCCCCAGCCCATACCGACCACCGGGTAGTTCCCCCCCACACGCACAACCCCCCCCCACCCTCCCCCCCTCTTTCTCCCCCCCATATCTCGTGCGCCGCGCTCACCTCGTCCAGCACCTGGCGGATGAGCACCTCCGCCTGCGCCATCTGCTCCGGCGTGCCCATCAGCTCCACGGACCGCATGGCGGAGCGCGGGTCCGCGTCGGCGTCGCGCGTGACCTGGATCTTGGCGCCCGACTGCGCCTGCAGGTACTTGATCGTCTCGCCCGCCTTGCCGATCACCAGCCCCACCTGCGCGCGGACAGATGCGCGCGGAGAAGCGCAGGGGAGCGCGGAGATGCACGAGGGAAGAGAAAGGGGGGGTGCGGGGTGGGGGAACGGGTGGGGGAGCGGGCCAAAGGGAGGAGTGGGGAAGATGGTACGGATAAAACGAAGAGACGGAAACGGGAACAGAGAGGTGGGGGAGTGTTAGAGGTGGGGGAGTGTTAGAGGTGGGGGAGTGTTAGAGGTGGGGGAGTGTTAGAGGTGGGGGATGGAGGAGAGGGATAAGAGAGAGCGCTAGGGAGGAACGCGTTGTTTGGGAGCAATGCAGTACACACAACGATGGTGGGATGGGGAGAGGAGATAAGAAAGCGGCAGAAACGGAGGGACGAGGAGGTGGAAATGGCGGCGAGCAACGCACCTTGGAATTGGGAACGTCGATCTTCCGGCTGCCGCCTTGCTGATCGTAATAAGCAGGCTGCTGCTGTTGGTAGTACCCTTGGCCCTGTTGCTGCTGCTGCTGCTGCTGCTGCTGCTGCTGCTGCTCGACTGCGCGTCAACAACACAAGGGCACCAGGTGTCTCTTTTCTAATAAAAATCATCCCGAAACACAGAGAAACCACCCCTAAAGAGAAGGTGCACCACCCCTTGTGTCATCAGAAGAAACGGAAACTTAAAAACAACAACGAAAACCCTTAAAAGAAGCAATTGTTGACTTACCGCCCATTCCTGGAGGGCCCTGGCCGCCACCGTATCCCGAATATCCCCCCGGCGGCCCTCCCGCCTGTCCCCCCATAGGTCCCCCCATAGGTCCCCCCATCGGTCCCCCCGGGGGACCCATTCCCGGCGGAGGCCCCGCTCCCGGAGCCCCTCCGCCACCAGGCGCGGAACCGGGTGCTCCTTGCGCCGCACCCCCCGCTCCCCCGGCAGGAGGCGGTTCGTCGAACTTGGACCGCTTAGCGCCGGTGTTTAAGAACTTGGCCGCGAGCTCTTCCGCCTTTCGCTTCGCCTGATCGAACTCCGTCGCCGGAGGAGGGACCGACGAGTACGCACCGGCGGAAGGTCCCGCTCCGTCCGAGACCGGCGCGGAGCCGTCGGTCGGTGGATGATCCTCAAACCCCCTCTTCCCTGAGCCGTCTGGCTGCGACACAGGTGCAGAGCCTGGCGCTTCCTCGGCCATCGCAAGTCCCGATCAGATCCAAGCCGAAGGTGCAGGCTGGGACGGAAACGGAAGATAAAGATGGGAGTGTGAGGACGAGGTTGTTGGGGGAAGGATGAGAGGCGAGGAGATGAGAGGAGAGGGGGAGAAGGCGGAGCAGAGGGGTCTGGAGAATTGACCGGGGGAGGTTGGCGGAGGAGAGAGGGTCAGTCGGTGGGGAGAGGGGGGAGAGTGGGGGGGGAGTGCGGGGGACGAGCGGAAGCAGGGGGGCTGGGTGCGGATTTGGGCGGGAGATACCAACCAGCTTCATCAGGGTTTGGCCGATTTTTGTAACAAATCAGAAACTGGCCAGAACACCAGCTCTATGATACCATTACTAAAATGGAGCTATTTTCATGGGGACGACTATTTTCCTCTCAAACAGATCAAGAATGAGCACGAATGAGCAAGAAATACAGATCAGTCAAACAATATGACTTTGAGAGCAGAAGGAATCAATCACAAGGTTGAAACAGCTAATGTTATAAATTAATCAAAATAATACCATATAGTGTATAAAGGACTCGTGATTCAAGAGTGTTGATACAAATGAGGGCCTATGCATTTATAGCCACGAACAGAGCTAGCCGAGAACCACGCGAACAGGTTGGGGCGGTACGGTTGGCGAAAGCTACGGAAGCGCCGACGTCTAGGTTTGGGTTCGCGAAGTGGTTCGGGTCGGGACTGAAGAAGTTGGCCGGACCTGAACTTCTGAGACTCGATGGCGTATGCGCTGTAGTTGAGCTCAGTAAGGAAAAGGGAATTTCCTTACACCACCCCCCATTTTGGGATGAGTCTACCCACATCGGGGACACGTCGTCACTATAAATAGTCCCGAACAACTCTGTTTTCACTGAGCGTGGCTGCGCTAACCGAGAGATCGTCGTCACTTATGCGATCGACCCAGCGTACAAGGAAATCGACGACTGCTGTGTCTCGATGTCCCCGTATACGATGAGCAAGGATCTTGGACGGCGCTGTCGCCGGCTCTGGTACTGGGTTGACCGTATGATTAATATGTTGACAGTCGAGATTGGTCGCACTCGGGACGAATGGTCCCAGGAGATTGACGTGAAACGAATCATGAATTCGCCAGTCGGTTAGCAGTTGCAGCTGGGCGGTGACTGGTGTCACCATGCGGATGATCCGAAAGGGGCCACAAAAACTTGATCGTAATTTATTTGGGAGGGGGATTCCCAAATTCCTGGTGTCGAGTAGGACCAATTGCCCAGGGACAAGTATCGGCGTCATCGGTCTGCCTGCTGCTTAGCCCTCTAGTTGGTTTTTAGGATGGCATCGGCGGCTTTTTGCTGAGACTGTCAGAGATTTTTTACGAACTGCTGAGACCTTGGTGCTGGATTTTCGATCGGTGGTCATAGAGGGGTTGTCAGATCTATCCCGTGATTAAGGAAGAACGGTGACTGAGTATTCATGGCCAATGGGGCATTGTTGTACGTAAACTCGATCAAGGGAAGGGCGACTTCCCATTGGGCCGGGTTTGTGCATGTCGTGCGAATCAGCTGCTCCATCGTCTGGTTGGTGCGCTCAGTTTGGCCGTCCAATTGTGGGTGGTACACCGTAGACAGATGCAAACGTGTGCCGTACTGCTGCCAGGTTTTTGTCCAGAAGTTGGACGTGAACCGTGGGTCACGATCGCTAATGATTGCTGATGCGATGCCGTGTAGCCGCACGATGTTCGTGAGGAACAGTTTCGATGTCTGCTCGGCAGTAATTGTCGTCTTGCAGGCAACGAAATGGGCCATTTTGGTCAACTGGCCAACGACGACGAGGATCGCGTCATTACCGCTTGAGGCAGCTGGCAGGCCAGTGACGAAGTCCATCGTCATTTGTTGCCAGGATCGGCTGGGTGGCTCGAGCGGCTGCAGCAATCCAGTGGGTCGAAGTCGGGAAGACTTCATGCATTGACACGTGACGGATTGTCATTATAACTTGCTGCTGTGAATCAGATTTCCATGGCGAACAGCCAACCGCTCACTGTAGTCGTTCTGCCAGTCGGGTTGAAGGGCGGTGGCATCGAAGGTTTGATTTTAATGGCCGCCCGGGGCTCGCTGTGGAATTCTTCAACTGCTTCAGGTGTCGCCGACGACCTCGCTTCGCTCGCGGCATCTTCGTCTCGGGTAACAGGACGCCCCTGATGCGTTTCACCCCGCGTCTGGCGAAGCAACGAGTTTTCGTTGCGCGGCGTCTGTACTTCACTTCCCAACGACTCGAACTTATCGGCGACTTGTTGAAGTTGGGCCTACAGTGTCGTCACTGTAGGCGCCCTGGCTTAAAACACGTCAATGTCACATGATTGAATGTGTCGAGGAAAGTTGTACTATTGATTTATACAAGGCGCATTTATACTTCCTATGGACACCAGGTAACCAGGTTTATCCTATCCAAAGGGAATAGACCCTTATAGAAATAGAATCACCATGTGTATAGCCACGCGAGGCTATTGGCTTCAAGGGATTACGGCGGGATTACGCTAGATATAGCGTGACAGTACATCCCGAGCCAGGTCGGCGATGTAATGATAATAATAGGATAACCCAAAGTATAATGAGAAGGAGGAATAGGAAACCAAATGGGATGAGATAAAGATAAAAAGAATCAGGATAAAAATAAGAATGAGATAGAGGACAAGGATGGAAATGAGAAAGAAGTGTAATGGGGTCGTACTCTCACACTTCTCCCCCTCAAAGTTGGGTGGTAAAAGTAACACCCTGCTTGGCAAGGTAGTCGCGAAGACGACGACGAGCGTTACCCATCTCAGATTCAGGGACCCAGCTATCCTCAGAAGGATCATATCCCTGCCAACGAATGAGAAGCTCCATAGTGCCATTCCGACGACGGCGGTGTGCGAGCACAGACTTGACCTCGTACTCGGGTTCAGCGTGGACGAGGATGGGCGGCAGCGGCGGTGGTTGGTGTCGGGTGAAGACAGTGTTAGGATCTCGATATGGCTTCAAAAGTTGGACATGGAAGGCGTTGTGAATCTTCCAGGTAGCTGGCAGGCGTAAGCGGAAGGTAACAGAAGTGACCTGTGCTTCGACGGGAAAGGGCCCGCAGAAGCGAGGTCGCATTTTGGATGGGAGATGACTGATATCGAGATTGCGGGTGTCGAGTAGAACCTGGTCTCCCACGGTGATGGTGTGGTCAGTGCGGAGACGATTTTCCCTGGCGAAGACTGGTCGTGGGGTGGAGATTTGTACCCATTATTTCCTCCTGCTCGCTTCGAATCAGCTTCGTTGAAGTTCATTTTCCCGGAATCCCGCGGCCACTTTCGGATTTTTCCTTTTTCTCCAGCTATATCCGCAATCACTGCCGAATTCCATTTTTTGTCTTCTGATTGGCCAAAGAATTTCCGCCACAGTTGCGTGCCCGATACTCTGCTCGTGCGGCTTTCATTTTGTTGCAGTCGAAGATTCGATGGCTCGGCACCCCACAAAAATCACACGTGTAGTTGGTGTTATTCGGACGTGGCCTCCCGTCGAACCTGTCGATTTCCATCGGGTCGGCAAACGTGGTGAGAGCCGATCGGTCGCCCTGTCGCGTACTACCGACGTGCGCCCATCATTTTCCGGCATTGACCATGTTAAACCACTTTGCTGCCAATACGACGTCATTGTAGCTCGCATAATTTGTCGCTGCAACCTGTCGTTTGACTTCGGTCTTCAGCCCAGCGAGATACGACTGTACATTTTCCCCTTCGGTCAGGTCGGGAATGCAGTTATGAAATTCCTCCATATGTTGCGTGTACTGTGCTACACTCCCGAACTGTTGATGGCGATGATTTTTTTTCCCGGGCAAGGAAACCCGAATTTATGGGCTCGAAGCGTTTTAGCAGGTCGGTGCGGAACTGCTGCCACGTGGCTTCACCGTGGATGAAAGTACTGTTGCCGCCGATCCACTCAAGTGCCGGCCCTCGCATCAGTGTTGCCGCGAGTCGCACGCGCTGACCGTCCCAGACTGGCGAGCTCCATCCGACGGCTGCGAAGTAGATCTCCATGCCGGCGATCCATCTGCGGGCATCGGAGTTTCGATTGCTCGGATCGAACGGCTCAGGCGGGCGCGGCTTTGGAGCCTTGAGAAACTGCTGCGTCGTCGCTGTCGTCGTTTTGAGCTGTGCGCAGGTGAGTCGGGTTACTCGCTCGAACTCGTTTCGCCAAGCTTCGCGATCGGCTCGCATCTCCACCTGAAGGGCGGCGATGGTTGCAAAGAGCTGTTGGGTAACCTCGGCGTTGTCAAAGTTCGCCATCTTGTACAAAGCACGCGCGGAGGGGTAAATTAAAAAACGTGGAGTTGGTGCTTACCAGAATCGGCACCGAACTAGTCGCCATCGACGTCTTTTTTAGGCAGATTTTCCTGTTGCTTCTGCTTAGCTGAGTGCGGTTGAGTGAGAAAAGCTCTGATTACCAAGTGTCATGGGATCGAATGTTTCGAGGAAAGTTGTACTACTGATTGATACAAGGCGCTTTTATACATCCAATGTACATCAAGTAACCATGAGATAAAGATCAAAGGAATCAAGATAAAAAGAAGAATGAGATAGAGGACAAGGATGGCAATGAGAAAGAAGTGTAACGGGGACGTACTCTCACAGTCAAACTCCTCCCGAGTCATGTTCCTAACAATACGACGGGCAAAGGTTTCCGACGTAATAGACATGCTGGAAATTTTACCTGACAGATATGAGGGTGCACACGCTTCTAGTTGGAGAAGCTTTAACGAGCTCACCTACCAACCGCAGGCCAACCTCTATTCTGTCGGGTCCTCCCACGATATAAACGGACTACTCTCCGGAAGACTGAGGGGGCAGGAACGGAGCTCTAATACCAGTTGTTATGAATTAATCAGAGTAATAACAGGTAGTGTAATAAAGGAGTCGCGATTCAAGAGTGTCGATACAAATGAGGGCCTAGGCATTTATAGGCATGAACAGAGCTAGCCGAGAACCACGAGAATGGGTTGGGGCGGTCCGGTTGGCGAAAGCTACGGAAGCGCCGCACGTCTAGGTTTGGGTTCGCGAAGTGGTTCAGGACCGAAGAAGTTGGCCGGACCTGAACTTCCGAGAGTCGAGGGCGTACGCGCTGTAGTCGAGCCCAGTAAGGAAAAGGGAATTTCCGTACAGCTAAGGAGCTTGGTAGCCATGAGAAATGTCAAGAGGTTTAGCTAGGTAGCGAGATAGGGGAGAAGTTGGCGATAGAAAAGAGAGTCACCATGAAAGAGAGTGAGATACAAGAAGGGGGGATTGTCCCCTCTACAGTAGGATATAGTAAAGTAGCACACCAATCAAGCCTAAACAAATATATATAGTGTATAAAATATAATGACACACCCCCTGGGCTTGGTAGTTGTAAGACCATCCAATACGAAACACCCCCAAATCCTTGCACCCCCATGTCATGCAGCAGGTGTGACTTCTATTCCCCGTGCGAAGCGGTAAAACCCCCGACGGGTGGCAGCAACAGCGTCAGCGGCGGCTTCTACGACGATAGCAGCAGCGGCGGAGCGGGTGGCGGCGGAGCCAGCTGCACCTCCATCGGCGGCGGCGACTGCGAAGCTCGCGGCACCCGGCGGCGTGGCACGACCCGGGGACAACCGGGTATTGATTCAGCAGCTGCGGTTGGAGAAAGGGGAGACGCAAGGGGGGGGGGGGGGGGTTCTCTAGCAAGGCGCCCGTGGCTGGCGCACTGGCTGACGTGCGGGCGTCATAGCTGGCGCCTAAGACAGGGCGCTGGCCGCAACCGTCCTTGCACTGGCGCGGCGAAACCGCCATGGCAGCACGACGACAAGGTGGCATGGCGGCACGGCGACCCAGTGGCACGGCTGAACGGCATCGCGGCGGCACTGTGGCACTGCGGCACGGTGGGACGGCGACGGCGGGGACACTACGGCACGCCGGAACGGCGGCGCGAAGGCACGGTGGCACGGCGATGCCACAACGGCAGCATGAAGATGCCCCCACGGTGTGGCATCGACGCCACGGCAGTGCGTTGAAGCCGTCATGGCAGCTCAACGGGGCCACCGTGGCAGCACGACGGGGCCAACACGGCGGCGCGAGATCGACGAGGTTGCCGCGGCAGCGTGACGAGGCCGCCACGGTTGCTCGACGACGAGGTCGCCGCGGCAGTGCCGCGAGGCCGCCACGGCAACGTGAATGTGACTGGAAAAGAAAGCGTACACTGTGGAAGCGTAATGATAACGCGCAGCAGGAACGTCCTGCTCTATTACTATGCTGGAACAACTAAGGAGCTAGGTATCCACAAGAAATGTTGAAAGGTTTAGCTAGGTAGCGAGAAAGGAGAGAAGTTGGCAAGAGAAAAGAGAGTCACTAGGAAAGAGAGAAATACAAGAAGGGGGGGGGGTTGTCCCCTCTATAGTAGGATCCAGTAAAGTAGCACACCTACCAAGCCTAAACATATATATATATAATATATAATATAATCTGACAGACAAAACATCTAATCTTGTATTTTTTGTCAATATTATTGGCCAATCCATCTTCCTATAAATAAGCAACATAAATAACACTAGTAATTTGGGTTTGGCCACCATGATAGTAAAACATTTTGATAGAGCATACAAATCATAACTTCAACTAGTTTGTTTACTCTTCATACAACTCTTCATTTTGGTAACATACTTCATATATTTTACTAGCGTTGCTTTCTTGGTGTCACATTTTACAACAAAATCATAGAGTGGGGGGAAATAATGGCATTCCTTTAGTAGGTCAAATACATAGGTTTTCCAAGAGTACCCTACTATTAAATTATATATTTGTTATATAATTGTAGGCTTGGTAGCTGTTACTGAAACCTACTAAAGAGGGTACAACACCCCTCCTTGTATCTATCTCTCTTCTATTCTCTTCTCACCCTCTTTTCTCTCGTCAACTTTATCAGAATTGAAATTT